AAATTCAAGTGCACATTGTGACTATCTTCGACACCCATGGCCACAGCCAGCTATAGTCTTTAAAACCTCGGCACTTGTTACACACTATCTTTCTGATACAATTTCTAACAGGCTTCTTCTTTCTAACAAATATATCGGCTTGTTATACACAGTATAATCGGGAGTTTCGCAAATAGCTCTGTTTCAAACCACATGCTGTCCTTCGCGCAGCTGAAAAGCTCTGCATGCGCAACATTATGTAACATATTATCCCGAGTTTGAACCCACCATCAGCAGTACCAGTCTTCAATTCTGTTGCCTGTTTTTTTAAGGGGGCTCTCTGCCTTCCTAAAATTCCTGCTATGGCCTCGATTATTATCAGTAGTGGAATTAGACACTCAATTCTTCTACTTCTTACTACCTATTACAAGGACTGCGCTAATACTGCAATGTAAAAATACTTAATACTCAACTTAAAGTCTTGCCATTAAACACTTTGTTACCTGACAGTGAACAATCAGATAAATATGCACTTACATATCCAAAATGTAAAATCTGGTAAATTATGAAGCAAACCTGGTCCCTTTAGTTTATTGTTATTAATGTGTTTATTATTGCATTATGATATCATTAGATTGTTGTTCTGTGCATTACATCTAAGCAGAATTTAATGTTGCAACTCGATCAAGGTGAAGTACTAATTGAACTAATTATATAATTATATACATTACTCTCCATAAACTGTTGGGCAATTCTACTTCAACACGACCACCGTAAAGATAGTCAAAATTGAAATTGAAATTTATATATTACCGTGTCAATGATCTCTGATGATTTGATTATTTTGAACTGATAAACACTTTCAGGAGGGGTATTTACCATCTCCCAGGATAGCTACATTACAACTAACATATGGTGAGAAATCAAAGGGTTCTAATAATACGAACTTGAAATAAACAAACTTGATTTGCTTCCTATCTTCCTCCATTTCTCAATCTCTAGTCTCATACACGTGGCTTCTATCCCCAAGTCATGGAATCATCTGCATTTTGTTTCTCCCACTATTAACAAAGTTGGAAGAACCCTTGGCTTTAGAACAATTACCGGCCAACATCTCCAGACTATCTGTCTTGGCTAACACTGTTTGAAACTCTTATAAATACACATTTTTAGCTTCGCAACCAACTGTCATTTTTTCTCATCCTACTCCAGTCTGGTTTTCCGACAAGGACACCAGTACTATTACGCCGCTGTAACCTCCTGTTTGCAAATGATATTTTTCAACTGCTTCTAGATAACAAAACAGTCTCTGTGCTGCTCTATTTCAATTGCACTTATCTAAGCATTTGACACCCGTTGACCATCATTTTCTTCTGCAAGACTTGCAAACGCATAGGTTAGTAGCAACTCTTCTAAATTAGTGTTTTCATATTACACCTGAGATGATAGAACTCAGTGTTGTGGCATTTCATGTCTTTCCTGCCAATCTGCACAGCTCGTACCTGGATTTTCCTTCCACCATGCCTCTCCTGCCCAGCTCTTCTCTACATAACTCCCCTTCACCAACAGAACCTGAGACCCAGCCCACGACCCACCCCATCAGCTCATTCCTTTCCACGTCAGATTGATCTGATAAACCTCTTACACTTTCACCATCGCTCTAGTCTGCTTTTGGGTACTGAAACGAACTCCTGACAAGAACAGAACTTGGTAAAACAGCTTTTCTCATATCCTATGCACCAAATGTCCTGGAATGCAATTTCAAATACACCCTAAAATCCATTAGACTCACATTCCCCCCTTTTAATACTATAAAAAAACCCTTTTAAAGTCAACTTGACCAGAACAGTGTAATTGTTTTCTAACTCACGGTGCTTTAAGTTGTCATGTCTGTTTGTTAGCTTGAGTTAAGTGTAATGCTCTTCTTTGTGTTCCTATGTACCTATAGTGTCATCGTACAGAGATTTGTGTTGTACAGTATGTAACTTTGTCTCTTTCTTATTATTTTTATTTGTTTTTTTGAGACTTTGCCGCCAGTCTTGGCCAGGACTCCCTGGGAGAAGAGTTACTCTAACTCAATGGGACTTTTCCTGGTTAAATAAAGGTTAAATAAAATTCAAAGTTTGATCTTCTCTTTCTTTAAGTTTTATTTAGCATCCATAGATGGACTCAGCTGTGTAGCTACAGTGAAAAGTCAAAGAGGCAGTGTCCCTTTATCCCTGTTTGAGAGTCACTTTAACACAGTTAAACAACCTGAGTTCTGGGGCAACAAACAGATAGTGTGGCACGATGATAGGTCTTATCATGACCTTAGTATTTCAGTCTCAACATCCCACTGACATAAAGTGTAGTTAGATAAAGGGTGAAACAAAGTTTATGCATATAATGGCTTCATGAACCAGGTGTAAGTATCATGTAGGTGCTTTCTATTTCCATTAGTTATTTTTATAAAAGTTGCCTACTGCAACTTTAAAGGTCCAGTGTGTAACATTTAGAATGATCTATTGTCAGAAGTGGAATATACTTCATTTCATAGGTATGTTTTGTCTTTTTGTTACCTTGAATGAGCCTTTTATGTCTACAGATGCCATATTGAACCGCCATGTTTCTACAGTAGCCCAGAGGGGACAAACCAAACACTGGCTCGAAATAGGGTTGTACACATTTCACCGTGTTGTGAGGCCACCGTAGTTTCTCCTTCACACTTGGAAGGGGAAGGTGAAGCAAGGGAGTTACTGTATTTGACTTCATCAAGTCATTGACGCCACCAACCCCCTTATCATCAATCAACACTCTAGGGGTCACCAAAGCTTCATTGGGGGTGTGTGTGTAAGAAAACTTTAAAATCTCAGCATTTGGTTCACTTCTGTGAATAAAAGTAAATGTAAAGGAAACTGTTAAAGAACTTGTCTAATCTAACAATGGCCAAGTGTCGGACACAATAAAACATTGAATTTGTCAAAAAAGAAGCCTATTAAGTCTGTATGATTGTTACAAATAATAAATAAATACATAAAAGTTCCCTAAACAGGAAATAATCTGTTCAAAATTCATTGGGGTTGTGCTGCGGCCGCATCACGTGCCAACGAGGTGTGCTGCGGTCACGTCACGTGCCGGCGTAACATGTGTGGACCCCAACATGAAAATTGCCACTCAGCGCTTACTTCCTGTTGCCAGTAGGTGGTGCTATCACTATATCTTAATATTGTCATGTAGATGTGTTCAGGGCGGGACTGTTATCAAACGTGAAGTTTCATTGAGATTGGATCATGTACACTGAAGTTATGACAACTTCCTTTTCATGGCAAATCGTTGAAATTGGACATGACACCAGGGGCACACTGTTAGACGGAATGTCGTAAATAGCACAACTTTTAATCATGAATGTCTGATTAAAAAGTTTCACAAGTTTTCGGGTTTAGGCCCCCAAAAAGTGTTCAAATGTTAACACAAAAGCTTTTTTGCTGCGTCGCCATGGCAACGTGGTTCTATGCAAATTCTTAAGATTCATAAGATATCATTGTCATCTTCCTAAGGATCCTAAGGAATTTCAGCTGTATCTGGTTAATCTGCTGGAAGATGTACATAAAAGTATAAAAATGACATTTCCTTTCACCACTAGGTGGTGCTCTCACTATTACTGAATATTATCACATAGACGTGTTCAGGGCGGGACTCTTATCAGACATGTGAAGTTTCGCTGAGATTGGATCATGTACGCAGAAGTTATGACAACTCCTCTTTCATGGCGAGTCGTTGAAATTCAACACCACGCCACGGGCACGCCGTTCGACGGAAAGTTGTAAATAGCACAACTTTTAAATGTGAATATCTTTAAATGGCTGTGTCCAAATCTGAAGTTGATTCGATCAATTCTCATTCAAATACACGCGTGCAAATGACTGCTAAATCCAAAATGGCCGACTTCCTGTTGGGTTTGGGATATGGCGCCCAATGGATTTTTTACGCGTGTGCCGATTTTTATGCATATCGGAGAAAGGGGCCCCGGCATGTACAGTTTATGGGCCCCTGAGGGGCCATTTTGCCATGCTTATAGTGGACCCCTAGAAAACACGAGATTTTTCACCACGACTGACATGTGCGCCGCGTTTCATGAGTTTTTGAGCATGGGAAAGCCTCCAAAAATGCGATTAATTTGTTACTAAAATAAAAATAATCATTACAGATACAATAGATACAATACAATAAATATCTATAAAATATATCAAAATATATGTCACTCAGTTTACTGAATGATAGAAAAGGGGTAGCTTAACATAAAAGGTTAGGAACCACTGAATCAACATGTAAAAACGAAGGAGACGCGTTAGTGAAGTTAAAGAACTGTTGATTTTATTCAGTACAAGAAAAAAACAACTCAATGGATGCACACACAGATCTACTACATCAACAAAAATATGCTGTTTAAGTAAGATCCAAGCCAAAGTACACTGCTCTTTTCTGAATGGTCTCCTGCCCTTCTAGTTCAGTCAAATCTGCAACAGCTTGAAGGAATATCAGATCAATAAAGTACTTTTCTGTCAGTAATAACCCGGACAGAGATGGAAGCTGTTCAAATGAAGTGTGTGTTATAAAAGATGAGTCACACTGTGTACCAGAGCTTCTGCTCATTGAGGTTTGACACAGCTTTTATTCTTACATATAACACACTAT